ATCAACACACAACATCCATCAAGATGTAATTGAAAAAAATAAAAAGATAATTAAAAAACATATTTATAATACAAGTTATGCAACGAGAACTTGTTTAACAAGAATTAACAAACCCCCAAATTCATTAGATGGTTAAAAATTTTAAAATATGAGACAGGTTTCGAGTGCCTCTGCTGAAAAAAAGGTGGATCAAAATTTCCTGCTTAATAAACAAATTTATCAGCATCCAGACGGGACAATTTTACCAAACCCTTCCAACTTTGAAATCTTCTTGAGCTCAGTTCTTTCTATGAGCATTATCCATCCTACCATTCCAAGTATTAGCAGCAGTGTCGTGGAAATTGGGTTCAGCCATGGTATGTATGACCTTTTGATGTTGTCCTTTGACCTACGAAGCACACGCAGCCAAATTGGGGGACACAATAGCTTGGTCGGCCATGAATTCCGTCGAAACATTAATCCACCATTTTTTCGATTTATGCCAATGTACCAACCATGAACTTTTATAATATCGCACGTCGAGTGTTCCCTCCACTCTTCTAGATCTCTTTCCATTTTCAATCGTATCTTTTGCCAGTCTGCTTTACATCTACGATACTGTGCTCTACAATTACATCTCTGTGTCACATTTTATTTAACTAGTCATTGAACACATTTAAATTTCATCAAATTTAACATTAGTGGCTTCTTGCATGGGTTGCATGGAGTGATGCGTATTGCGAAAAATAAAGCCCGTGAAGTCACTTCTTGCTAGGGATAGCGTTATTTTGTTCTCTTGCTCCGTAAGATGCATTGTATTTGAGCAAGAATCTTTCTTTCCTAGCAAACTAAATTTCCTAACAATTTTGCCAATCTTAACTCTTTAATTGAGTTTAATGTAAGATCATATTTACTGGAAAAAATAGATTGATTGAGTACTACTGATCAATTTGAGAGAGTTTGCAATTCATAGAACGGTGTCTGAACTTTGTCGTGCATTGTAGAGTACGTGTGATCAACGCATGAACATCTTCTTAGTGAGATCCACAACTATTTGAGTTTAATGCTTCAAAAGCCAAAGATGCAGTCCAAAAAAATTTGCTAAAAGCAGTAAAAAATTTCGCACTTCGTGTCTGAAGTTTATGGCTGAAGCCTTGGATAATTTGGAGCATAAACCTACTAAGAAAGTTTTCTTCACCCAGCAGCCCTGCTCGCCCCATAAGCTGTAGGGACTTTTGTGCGGGCCCTTAGGGGGCTGAGGAAAGAAAGAGATGAAATGGGAAAGAACTAAGACGCAGGACAAAAGTACTTTATCTCCAGCATTTATTTAATTAGTGGTGAATTTTGCTCCGAACCTTCAATTAACCATTATTAGATCAAGCAAAGCACCTTTTATAACCAAATAATGATAACGTGGGACATATGATCAGCTACGTAATCCTATGCACTTGCGTCCTGAGTTGGCAGATAAGAATAATAATAATAATTATTATTATTTTGTTTTGAGATGATTTAAATTCAAAATTTTGGAAAGGGATGAATTAAGTGATACAGAGATAGCATAAGTTTTGTATAGAGAAATCTTGACAACCTGAGTATTTTCTGAACTGAGTATTTGGGCACGTAAAGAAAATTCTGGGGACATAGGGTGAAAATTGCCTCTCAATCAAAAGGACAGGCGGACTAAACAAATTGCAAAACAAGATGGTTTTCATTTTTCCCCATTGGTTTTTTTCTGTAAATTCAGAACTGAATAGAGCTTCGTAATCTTGGTTTGACATGAGAAACATTTGTAGGCGTTAATATGGTGGCATCAACGCGGGATAATTATGGTTGTCCTAAACAGGTATTTACAATGAATTAGATATTAATTTCTTGCACCACTACTAATAAAATAGTGAAAATATAAGCATCATATGGAAAAGTCGCCGCAATAAACGACGGACACAGGCAACGACAATTATTCTCTTACTTTAAAGGGTTAACTACACTTTGCCCCCTGAACTTAAACCATTATAACACTTTGCCCCCCTAAACTCCAAACATATACACTTTACCTCCTGTGGTCAACTTTTTGATGAGATTAAGATGGAGTTATATTTTTTATGATCAAAATATCCCTAACTGATTCTTAAATACACACAATAATTGTAACATAATATATATATATATATATTTCTTTAATAGTTAACAAATGTATTTAAACACAATTACACTATGCATTTTGACGTTTTAGCACTAAAATGAATTAGATAGTTCACATAAAAGAAGTATAAGTAACTCAATGTGTTTATCTCAATATCGTAGCAATTCTTGTTATAAATAAAATAATATTAAATAGTGCATTTAAAATAAAAATTATCTGCGTATATTTTTTTATTGTAGCACTTTTTAATATGTTTTATATGAGATAAAAACATGATTAAAAATAAAAATATATTGAAAACCACATTTAGAGAATTTTTATTTTTTTTAAAAGTGTAAAATGCAAAGCAAGGTATGAATGTGGTATAAAATTACCAAATAGCATCTTATTGACTCATGAAAATCTTGTAAAAGCTACAAAGTAAATGAATATTATTAAAACTAATCCATTTACAAATTAAAAGAAGAAAGGTAAGCGATGAAAACTTGTGCAGATGGTTTATGAATTTTTAAATTCTTTTTTTGTCACAATAAAAATTTTCAATTCTTTGCTATTATACCATCTTTTATTTTTTTAATTTTTTTAAAATCATATGAATTTTTATATTTTTCTAATAAAATATTTCATATTCTGATTAACAGTATAGCATTATTCTATTTTGTTAAATTTTTGGATGAAAAATTCATCATTGACATTTGACTTAATCAATGAAGGGGGCAAAGTGAATATATTTAAAGTTCAAAGAGGCAAAGTGTGATAAAGGGTCAAGTTCAAGGGAGCAAAGTGCAATTAGCCCTTCTTTAAACCTTAATGTACCTGTCTTATTGTTCCTAAGAACCTTTTCAAGCCAGTGTTAGTGCCTAAGTAACTTTTGTTGACCGAAGAACATATTAAAAAATCCAAATAAAAAATATAGCCAGTTTCATCCCTTGGAGAACGCAAGGGACATTCAAAGCACAAGTGAAGAAATTATGAAAATCCAATTCCGAATCTCCCTGTCGTTGATACTGATAATATATTTGCCACGAATGCAAATCAATTTACATGATCTGAGAAAGTAGATTAATTTGAAGGGAAATGCAAACTGAATTGAAACATTTATCCCTCTGGGCGTAATTGTGATGATAGTTTTATGGGCTAGGAGGCGGCCACTCAGTCGGAAAATTAATATGAGAGAGCTTTTTCTTTTCCAATCTTCCACTACGATATCTGTGTCCATGTGCACTGATCATATAATCAAATAGATGCGCAGGCAAGCATCCAACATCGAGGGCCATGGTTTAAAGTGGAGCTTCCTGGATCTTTCTTTCAAAGTTTTTCCTAGCCATCAATCGATAACCTTAACAGTGATGAGTCACTTACAATTACCATACATGAACAATGCTTACGTTACAAAATCTACGGCAGAATGATTTCTCTGAACTTTCAAAAAGGGATCCCTTTCCTGAGTGGGAAGTTAAATGGAATCGAAAAAACTTTGAGTCTAGTCATGGTAGGAAGCATCACTTACTGCGATTGCCTTTTCATGGTAGCTAGTAGTACAAGTTTTCTTTGTCAAACACCGAAAGGAGGCACTTAATTAGCATGTGGTTCCTCGAAAGTACTAGTTATATCTGTGCCAGATTTTTCTGCCCGGATGCATGAGAGCAGCGATGCCTATTCCAACTTCTAAGTTCTAACTAAGCTTTGAAATTTGCAGGTCTATATACTATATATTCACATGTTTTTTTTTTTTCTATCTTTCCTTTTAAGGCTCGGACATCCAAGGAAGGATAGAACTTAGAAGCAGCAGCATATAAGTTCTCAAGCCTGACGAAAGCGAAAGCTCATAAGCGGCCACTGCGAATGTTTTGAGAAACAAGCCTTAGATTTTGTCATCATCGCAAATGTTTTGATACATCTATTGTTAAAATGCAATATCATAGACTAATTCAAGTACCAGCAAGTCTGTTTGGAAATGGGTTTTCTGCGAACACGACTCCTGCCATTCTTATCTAATCTCGGGTCCCGAATGTAGCGAAATAAAACGCTGTGACGATTGTGCCATGTGTACTGCTCATAATGCAAACGAGTCGGTGAATGTCTGGTGCTCTCATAGCGCAATGACAAAAGCTACTATACTATTTTTTTTTTTTTTGGACAAAAAAAATGACAATATAAGAGGCTGGAAATTCTTTTCTATTTTTATTCAATGAAAAAGTCCGAAATATATAATTATGGGCAAGAGTTGATATGTTCTTTTTCAAATTAGATTGCGGCAAAATACATGCACCCAAAATTAATACCAACAAACATGCTACGAGGTTCTTCTTCTGCTCTTGTTCACAAAGTCAAAATATCACAGTGATACTATTTGATTGTCGTTCATACTGTGGTGCACTATTAAAGGAAAATGAACCATCATATTCATATAAGGAAATAAACTCCCAACTTAGTATATACATTACCCAAAGTTAGTACAACTGGGCTTGTGGGCTTCTTAATGACAAGTCCTTTTGGGTCAGCTTGTCAGACTTTAGCAATATTAGGACTGGGCTTAGGAAATGCTTTTTCCGGTGCAACTATTTCGAAGAGAAAGGATGGGTATCTCCCCTTTGGACCGAAACCAAGTGGACAGAACATTGGGGCCGGGTCAACTTCTCATTAATTTTGACACGCCACCAAACCCTGAAGCCTGACCAACCCAAAAGAACAAAGGGATTGGGATCATGTTCTCTGACCCAACAAATAAATAGAAAGGGGATTGGGATGCAACCCAATCATGTGTGCGGTAAACGCTTTTTAAAAAAAAAAGGGGGGAATCTCAACAAGATAACACAAGTTTCTTCCTTTGATTGCTTAATAGCAGCTACAAAAAGTTGACAGGACAGCCCTTTTCTAAAGAAGTTGAAGCTCAACATACATTTGTACTCGTAGTTAGCAAAAAGCTCATTTACCAGAAGAAGCCAAACGTAAAGTCAAAAACAGGGTACAGACAGTAAGACCGTTACTAAGCTTAAACAGAAAGTTCATAGTAGCATTTTATGAGGATTTCAGCATCGCAAAAAACACAACCAAAATCAAGATTTCCATGAGAGCCATCAGATTCTGCTCTTGATTAGGTGGCTGACGGGGGTTGAATGCTTTTAGCAGCCACGACCTCTGAGTTATGCGAATCAGCTTCAGCACCAGATATGTGAAATAGGCCGCCATCACCATAAGCAACCTCCAGTCGTATGCACTTGCATCAGCCAGGCGGGAAGAGATCATAGCACAATTTGCTACCATGACCAGCGAATCTAGACTGTTCACAATCAACTTTTGCTTGAGATTCCTGTTAAACAGAAATTAATCAGTTCATGAAGCCATATACACGGGACCAGGGGCAAAATGCGAAAACCCTTATTAGAAATCTTTCCTGACAGCAATTTTTCCTTTTTCTTTTAACTCCCTTTTTCCGGGTTCTATGACTCCACAAGGCACATGGATCTGGTGATAACATGCTTACATAGCAGTGAACAACAAAAGAAATACTGCCAATATGTTTATGGTTTTTTAACCTTGCTGAAATATCTGCATAACTGCCATGGTACATGTGTTCAGACTCCATCTCTTGATGAATCTGTTGAGTGAAAGAAAGAAAAGTTTGGAAATGATTAGTAGTACTAATTAGTTCTAATTTAGCAGGACGATTTTAATGGAGAAAACGTTTTGAGAGGAGGCATACGTCTTCTTCTGGTTCTGAACTTGAAGGAACTGTGATCAAAGTAGTGCATGCATTTGTGTCCCTTGCCGCCGCCACCACGGTTGCTCTTCCGGGGACATAAGAGGAAGAGGAAAGGGAAGCGACAGCCAGAGAATCACTCGGTGGCTCGGCCTGTAACCAGGGTCCAAATTTACCCTTTTTAGCGGGGAATTGGCAGCTTCTGTAATGGTTCCCAATCCGGCCACATTTGTAGCAGAAAATACCCAACTTTTCATACTTGAACTCAACCCAAATATCACTGAGCCTCCTACGCCTAACCCAAAACCCACAAAGCAAAGGTTTTGTAATGTCCAAAATTACACGAATCCTGAGGAACTTCCTATCCAACGCTCTCCCATCGAACGCATCCCCATCCACATACGGAAATTTGCCCAACACTTTGCACTTGTAATTGTGATTTCTCCAAAAAAATTCATCTTCCCTTTTCTCTTAGATTATGTTAGAATAGATTATATAACATGTTATTGTTGCAACAACAAAAAAACAGACAAATCATACTAGTATGATTATAAACCATGATTTAGATGAATATGCGGTTCAAAACTTAGGAAAGATTCATCGCATTCTTGAACAATTAATGGTTTGAGTGAACATTTTCACTTTGTCATCCCCACCGTGAACCTTATTGGGTTCACCTACGGATTGCCTTTTCTAGAGTCTTTCGCCATTTGGATTTGGAACCCCAAATGGAAAACAGTTACCGTGTTCCATGATACGATAAACATCAGCACAATACCAGACTTTGTTCAACTGAATCAAACATCAAGAAGGGTTTTTGTAGCTTTTTTTTTTTTTAATGGAATTTTTGGACTCTCAACTAGCTGAGATATCATGTTACTACTGTTTAGTGTTGATTTTGTGACACATGGGAGACCTGGACTGGAATGGAATTGTGCTTTATTGTTCGCCTCCTAAAATAGAAGTATGGCTAGTGTTTAGAACCCAGAGGCGTTGTCGCTCCCAGCATACTTGAAGGTAGCCCAACCCAACTTTCTATGAGACACATGTGTGCTTGGTCCTCAGAGTAGGCCGCTAAAACAGTTCTTCAACTCTAACACCTTGTCTTCTTTGGACCAACAAAGGCATCCCCGCCGTGAGTCAACGATTGGGCCCATCGTGTACTGTATATATATATATATATATATATATAAATCATCATACTTGACGACTTAAGGCCAACCAAAAAGCTTCCGACGGTAAAAGAAAAATAATTAAAACAAAATTATAGGAGGAGGAAATTTGAAAAGTGACTGGGACCTGCAAAAATAATAATAATAATAATTGTCCGACAAGTGAGACGGTGTACAACGTCAGAGACTTTTAGGAATTGTCGAATTTAGCACAAGAAACAAAAAAAATGTATCAGAATCTTAGTTAATTTATTGTTGGGTCTAAAACAAGATTAGTTGGTTATTGAGATCCGCCAGAAATTTCCATCACTTTGCTCGCAAAACCTCTGCAACGGTCCTTTGGGCACATGATGTGAGCATAAAAAAGTTGGTGATATCAAATAAGTACCAATTTCTTTTCGGGAGAATTTGTCCATTGTTAAGAAGTAGTAAAAAATTAGAGGTTAACAAAGAATATAAAGAAAAGAAAAAGACAATATGTTAGATTTGGTGGGATTAATTTGAACCCATCCTCAAAATTCTCCAATCCCAATCTCGTTAGACCTGAAAAATCGCATACGGGCCGGGCCGCACGAGTACATGGCGTCCAACTGTACAGCCGAAGACAGAATCAAAATGGATGAACGGGCCCAGAATATAACACTGGTAATTAATTAGTAGTAATTACTTTACGCTGATCGCCTTTTTCTTAAAACAAAAGGAAAAGAAAAAAATCACACATCCTCAGAGGGAACAGAAATGACTGGAAAAAGAAAAGGTTCTCTCTTTTTTCAAAGAAAAGAAAAAAAAAAAGAAGGAAAGGAGCAAATTTATGTACAAACGGAGAAGGAATTGTTGTTGTTTGAGCGGTACAGCAGAGAGAGTCACAGGGCAGCAGGGATTTCTGATGATGAATTTAATAGTTCTTCCAAATATTCAGCTCCCAAATCCTCCAATATAACCACATTCTCTACCTTGGCTGCCGCCTCTCGTGCAATTTTGTGATTCCTAATTGAGGATTTTTTCTTTTTGATTGAATGCCTGTGCTTCAGTGCCACCACGGGAGAGCACCCTCCTCCTCCTCCTTCAGAACCGCATTTCATATCACGAAGGGACTCTTGCACCACATCCACAGGAAAATTGAGCACGGCCATGGGACCCCTCATACAAAATGCAGCTTGATCGTACACCAAAGCAGCAGCTTCGGCGCTATCGAACGTTCCGAGCCACACCCGGATTCCCTTCCTCGTGGAATCCCTGATTTCAGCTGCATATTTTCCCCACGGCCGCCTGCGGACTCCTCTGTAACTCTTTTCCTTGTTTGTTTCTTTTGTGACGTTGGAAGTCACCTCTTCCTCCCTAACGCCGCCGCCGGAGGAGTTGGAGTTGGAGTTGGAGTTGGAGTTGGTTTCCGAGGAGGATTGTCTCAAAGAAGCATCTCTGGCAGAGGCTCCTGCTCCCTCGGCCAGGACATCGAAAAGAAACATGTCTTGAGAGTCATTGAAATTGAAGGGAAGAAAATCGCAATTGTGCTGGAAAAGCACCTCATCCCATGATGATGACGAAGATGATGTTGATAACGATGATGATGATGATGATGATGATGGGGTGAAAGAATGCGATTGCGGTTGGGGTGAATCAAATGAAGATGATGATTCGAAGGGGCAATCTAAAATTATAGAGTCGTGAAATTGGAATAACGACCTATTAGCCTCCATTTCTGAATTTCGAATGAATTCTTTTGAATTCTATATAGCTTATTAGCAGCAACTACCAGTGGAGATGCCAAATTTGGGTGTTCGACGAAGTTAGGACGCCGACCTCCCCCTTTATATACTCGTGAAAAATGGATAATCCGAAAGTACTACCAGAGAACATCTTATCTTTTTCTTTTTCTTTTTTTAAAAAAAAATATATATTATTAAAAAAAAAAAGGTCATAGTCATAGATTACTGGATTTTGGGCAAAGAGGGGATGTCCCGGCAACGTTGTTGTGGCATCAGATGCATTCGTGTACCCCCTCGGGCAACTTGACCATTGACCCCACCCACGTAAGACAAAAAAACTGCCGAGTCCTGCAACACTCGTGTCATGCATGGAGTGTGAGTGTGTGGAGGTTACACGCTTACACTAGGAGAGTTAGGATTTCATTTCAGGGCCAAGGGGAGGCCTTTCGGTTTCGGGCCACGTGAGTCAAAATGACGCACGGCGGCGGAGTCTAGTCGTCATGGAGTTGGGGCCGGGGGGCACCAAAATTACCAGAACAGCTGCATAAATATGAGTCGGAATGAAAGGCTTTTATTCCTTTCTATTTTGATGGGTCGAAGTCGAATTAGGGGTACAAATAAGTTGAATCGACTCGAGTTTCGACCTAATTAAACAGAGTTTCGATATAATTTTACGAAACTCGAAATCGAATTTGAACTTGACATTTCAAGTCTATTCTCGGCATAATTTTACGAAATTCGAACTTGCGCTCAAATTCGACGAGTTCAAAATATCAAACTCGAGTTCGAGTTTTAAAAAATAAAAAATAATTATTTTATTTTTAAAAAATAAATAAAATAATTATTTTTCTTAAATAATATTAAAAATATTAAAAATATATATGTAATTTTATTATTAAAATAAAAAATAATATATATATATATGTATATGTAATCGAGGTCGAATCGGTTCGCGAGCTAATGAGTTCTGGGGCTGTTGTACTAGTATAATAAGGTTGTGTTTGGATTACATTTTCCATCATTTTTCATGGAAAAATTGCTGTAGCGATTTGATATATATGAGAGAAAAAGGTGATAGGAAAATGTGATCACGAAAAACGACAATATTTTCCGACGGAAACAAGTAATCCAAGCATGTCCAAGTTAATGGGTAAGTGTCATTCTGATCCAGTCAAAGTTTTGTGTGAAGCAGTATAAATTTGCAGTTGGACAATTTGATTCCTTATTATTATCAAGACGGCAAAATTGAATGGATAGTACTACAATACAACATTAGTGGACTGATTACTACATATTTGTATTAGTAATAGTCCATGGAATGTATGCAAGAAACTTCCTACCGGGCTGCTCTGCAAAGCCTGTTTAATCACCTTTTTTTTTTCTTTCTTTCTTTCTTGAAGGAAAAAAATGAATACTTCGCACCACTTCTTTTTTAGATAACGCTTAACTTATAGATATAGTAAGAAAAAACGCTTTTCTATTCTACAAACGAACGGCACACTCCGATGCAAACTTTTTTGTCTTTAGACTTGCATCCAAACATAAACAAAATTTTAGGCCAGTGGGCCAGCAGTACACGAAATCCTGATTAACCATGGCCATGGCATTAGAGTTAATAATGCTGGTGAACAAGTTCATGAACGTAAATTAAAAATATATTTGATATTTATTCCACTTTCTTTCCCATGCTTACCGCTTGAATGGTCAATTCAGCTATTCTCTGACTTCAACCCGCATTCAACTCTTTCTTATCAATAGTGGAAGAAAGTAACCGATGACCCATATTGGTAAAATTCAACACTTTTGGTTTTTTTTTTTTTTTGGTTTTATATAATTACTGCTACAAAACTTCTCACTAGCTATCTGCACCATAAACACATAACTTATTTATTTATTTATTTCTGGAAGTGTTTAGTCGCGCCACCTAACAATAACATACCAGGTACCAGCCATAAAAGCTCATTTCCTTCTTCGGGTTGATAATTTATGCAAAGAAATATATGCCGAAAGGGTACAAAACTTGCTACTACTAGTTAGCCAAAGATGCTAAAAACGTTCTACACATGGAAAATATTTTAAAACCCTTTTTGTACACACACCAAAAAAAAAAAAAAATTTATTGAAGCAGGAAGCCATGGTGCACTCCTCTGTTCTGTCCGTTGAAGGACCCGACAATTCCAAGGTACCAACCTTATCACAGTCTAGATTCAGGCCTCCTCGCCTGTCTATTTTCCGCTGGTCTTTTTATTTATTGACGCACGGATTTAATGGCCGAGCCTTAAAAAAAAAAAAAAAAAAAGAGTCGGAGATTGTCTTTTTATTTATTGACGCACGGATTTAATGGCCGAGCCTTAAAAAAAAAAAAAAAAAAAGAGTCGGAGATTGTACTCGCCTTTTGCGATTTTGATGAAAGACATCCGCATAATTAATACAGATCATCATGGCGACACGAATCCGTCTTTTGCAAAAAGCAGAGCTCGCTTGAAGTGAAACCTCAGAGGCTGAACAAAGAAAGCAAAGTGTGTCTTCGCTTATTTGCCATGAAAAGAGTGGCAGTGTGGTTCTAGAAACGTAATACTAAAGATTTACATTCCGCTTTGTCGTACATGGTAGCTATCTTATAATCTTACATCAATTCCCAGCTTCGGTTCCGTATCCTCTTCTGCAAGCCAAACAATTTATCATTCCATTTGTCATACGTTGGCTGCAAACCGCTAAATAGCAATAATGGCTTAATCGTTTAGTAACAGCGACCGGTTGCAGGCAAGAGGCGCTGCATTTGAGGCCATCGCCTTCTTCCAGATTTCATCGTACTTGGCTATTGCCTTTGAAATGTTCTGTTTTTTTTTTGCGCTTTTGTAGTTATTTCCCTTGTTTTGTGGAAGCCTGAAAGTAGTTTTTTTAATGCAAAATTAGTGCGGTTAAATTAGACGCGGACGCTTGTGGCTACGGGGCATGAAACCCGTACCAGTCTGATATCACGCGACCCTTTCATAAATCCTTTCCTTTTACCGGTGTTAACACCTTCAATTCCATTTCCATCACTCTCATTTCTCTAATTTTGGTCAAAAGTCAAAATCCGTACCCGTAATTACTAATATATTTCTCTCAATTTTAATTTGTGGGCAAAAGTCAAATTGTTTGAGCAGAATTTCATTTAGTCATATTGTGTCGATTCATAAAAACCCAAAAAAAAAAAAAAAAAACCCGAACTTCATTAGCCATTATTGTGTGCAAAACGTACCAATCCCAGTTCAAGTTTCTCTATTTAAAGCAGTTTGCATGATTGCCGCCATAAAAAAACCGAACCAATCCTACACGTCTTTATCAATAATGAACTCCAGGGTAATTCCTCCTAAATATGATGAGAAGAGAGGCATAATCAATTTACCTTGACAATTGGTTGGACCCAACCGTTTTACATCATTGAGTTCTGAGGATGGTGGTCTCGGCCGGGGTAATCCGGTGGCTCACCCCGGGTCTCCCGCTCCGAACACCGTCCATCGAGTCACTCCCCGCCCTTTGGTCACCTCGGTCAATCTCATAGCCGAGGTGACCTATGGACACCCGACTACAGCATAAAGGTTGGATGTGACTCCTGGAGCCTCTGACACCCGACAGAAGGTTGTCCTGACGCGTCGCCTGAACCTTTCCAACGTCCCATCATGTCTTTTCATAGGGACCGGTCTAATTCACCGGATGCGCTGACCGAATCAGATCTCTAGGGACCTGTGATGGAGGTTCTTCCCACGCAACCTTCCCCTATAAATACTCAACCCTTCTACTAAAAAGGGGGATGATGAATTTCAGGTAAAACAATACTCTCCTCATTCACTATCCAACTCTCTTTACTTCCGAACTGACTTAAGCTTCGGAGTCATATCGGGGGATTCAGCCCCCCCATAGCCTGAGCAGGTGACTTCGTCACAGTGACCAGTCTCCAGGAGGAGGTATTCTCAGTCCGGTAAATTCTCTTCATCCGGTCAGAATTTACCTCTTCAATTGGCGCCGTCTGTGGGAACGCAAAGACAGTAGAAAATGAAGCCTGCGCGTTCTAAGAGCAGAAAAGCTCTCACTATAGAGGCTGAGCAAAGCAATGCAGTTCAACCGGAGAATATTTCTGAAGGACAGGAGCCCCCGAGGGCTCCGCCCCCGAACGAAGAAGCCATAACTCGTATGGCCGAGTTCGTAAATGAAAACCCCAACATTTTCGAGGAGTTGGGAAGATACCTCAAGAGGCAAGGCAAACAAAAGGCCGAATCCTCCAAGAGGAAGTCGGATGGGTCTCCTGAAGACTCATCCGAAGAGGAGTCAGATGGAAGGCGCCTGAGCCGAAGTGCGTCGAAACGGGCCTTCTCTAAGGCCACCTCCAAGGTAGCCTCTATTACTAAGGCCTTTTCTCGAGGGCTCCTAGGGAGACGACCCGAGGAAGAGCCTCGGCCTTTGGGAAGACCTGGGGTGGATTACATGAGAGCCCCACCCTTCACTGACGATATCAATGAGGAAAGGCTTCCTCCAAATTTCAAGCTTCCATCAATACAATCTTATGATGGCCGAGGTGATCCTGAGGATCACATCCACGCCTTCATCTCCGCTTTCCGCATGTACTGCATTCCTGACCCCGTCATCTGCCGGGCTTTTCCCGTATTCCTCCAGGGCACAGCCCGAAAATGGTTCGCAAGTTTGGAACCTAGGAGCATTTCGACCCTGGGAGAATTAGTGGAGAGATTTCTTCACCGGTTTATCTCCTCTCGACCTACAACTAGGACCTCGGCTTACCTGCTGAGTATGCAACAGAACCCGGGGGAATCACTCCGGTCATACGTCCAGAGGTTCAATGAGGAAAGTGTACAAATACCCGACCCCAATGAGCAGGTTACCATAGCTGCCTTTACCCATGGGCTCGTATCCGGGGTATTCAACACGGGGATTCATAAAAAATACCCCCGCACCCTCCACGAGTTGTGGTCCAAGGTCGAGAAGGGCATACAAGCCGAAGACCTCAACCGTATGAAGAAAGAGGTCCAAGTTGCTCGCCCGAGGGTTGATACCCGAAAAGGGAAGGACCTCGGTCGAAA